CTTTTTGATCAATTTTTGGATTATATTTGATAGAATTTCGTTTAAGATCTTTTCATCTGTGTTCTTCAGAGATGTTGGTTTGTAATTTACTTTTTTCGTGGTGTCTTTCTCTGCTTTTGGTGTCAGGGTGATATGTGTATTGTAGAAACTGTTTGGGAGTGTTTCTGTTTTCAATTTCCTGAAAAAGCTTGTAGAGGATTGGCATTAGGTCCCCTTAAAGGTTTGAAAGAATTCACTAATGAATCCTCCTGAGATTGGGCTTTTTTCTTTGATATATGTTTGACCACAAGTTCTGTTTCCGCGATAGTGACAGATCTGTTCAGGTATTCCAAATCTTCTTGGTTCAGCCTTTGGAGGATCTAGGAATCCAGAAATTTATCCACTTTTTCTAGACCAATTTGTTGTGGCATGAAGATTCTCAAAGTACTCTTTGATGTTGCTTTGAATTTCTCTGGTTTCTGTTTTGTTGTCCCCTCTTTCATTTCGGATCCAGTCTAATGGGGTTCTCTCTTTATTTGTAAGTCATGCTAATGGTTTATCAGTCTTATTTTGTTATTTTTTCCAAGAACAAGCTCTTTGTTTTATTAACCTCTTGGAATTATTTTGATTCCAGCTAGTTAATTTCTTCTCATGTTTTATTATTTCCTTCCTCCTTCCTGGTTTGGGCTCCTTTTGCTGGCCATTTTCTAAGATCTTAAGCTGGGAGGTCAGTAATTTTACGTGGTTCCTTCTTCCATGTACATTTAGGACTTTAACTTCATTGTAATATATGTATTTCATGATTATTTTATTATTTTTAGTTTTTATATATTTAGTGAATCACTGTGAGTTATAGTTACTGACTTATCAACTTTTCTGCTTTCGTTTCAGTCATACAGTGATTGAAACTGTATCCCTCCACCAGTGCACATTATCCACCACCAATGTTTTCAATATTACTCACACCACCCCCACCCTTCCCCCCAATTCCCCCACCACCTCTGTGGTAGGCACATTCCCTTTTACTCTCTCTCTCTCTTTCTCTCTCTCTCTCTCTCTGCTTTTTGGTGTTTTTGTTTGCAATACAGGTATTAAGTGGCCATCATATTTGATCTATAGTCTACTTTCAGCACACATCTCCCATCCCAAGCGGGCCCTCTAAGCATCCTTTACTTGGTGGTCCCTTCTCTATCTCAGCTGCCTTTCCCCCCAGCATGTGAGGCCAGTTTCCAAGCTGTGGAGCAAACTTCCTGGTCTTTTTCTCTACTGCCCCATGATTATAAAGAAATGACCTCTGATATCTCTTGTAACCTTTTTCAGCCTAAAATTTTGGTTGTTGGATACTAGTTTGGTGATTCTGACCTTCTGGAACAAGTTGTTTGCTTGAAGAATTGTTTTCCAGAGTTTGACTTTGAGTCTGTATCTCCTCTGAGTATTCAAATGTGTTTCTTGTAGGCAGCACAACATTGGGATCATGTTTTCAATCCAATTTACCAACCTGTGTCTCTTACTTGGTGCCTTGAGACCATTGACCTTGAGTGAGATCATTGTTATGGAGGGTTCGCACCATCTTCCTTTAGAGGATTGTTGAGTTTGTGGGGGTTGTCTTGCCTTACAGGAGGCTCTGGAATGTTTCTATCAGAATTGGTTTTGATTATATGAAGTTACTGATCTTTTGTTTATCCTAGAATTAATCTGTGCATCATTCGTTGGAATATGAATGAGAGTCTACCTGGGTAAATTATTCTTTGTGAAGCCTCCATTTCATTGTTTTTTTTTAACTATATTCCACCACTGACTATAAACCTTAGGCAAGAAGATTTCATTCCATCAGTCTCCTATAAATCTAAGGACTGATCCTCTCTGTAATTTTCTTCTTTGATCTTGCTGTTCTCAGTATCTTATCTCTGTCTATGGTGCTCGTCATTCTGATTGGGAGATGTCTTGGAGTCTTTTTGTTAAGGCCCCTTTTAGCAGGTACCCTTTGGGCTTCTTGGATCTGGATGCCTGTCATTATGGACTCTGAGAACTGTTCAGCAATGATGTCTGTAACTGTCACTACCTCACTGGGGTTGCCTCCCTGTCTCTCTGGAACTCTGCGGATTCTTATGTTCCTTATCTTTAATTCATCCTAGTCTTTATCTTTCTCTGTTCTGCCTTTAAGTTACTTTGAGGATTTTCATTGTAGTTGTAGTTGTCTGGATCTCTGGATTTTCTGAATCTTGCCCTCAAGCTCACTAATTTTATCTTTGCCTGTTGTTTCACTGATGTTGAGATCACCCACTCAGTTTTTCATTTTGCATACTGAAATTTTTATCAATGCCCTTTCTGTTGTAGCGTCATCTGTGTTGCCCAAATGTAAATGAATTAGTTTGTTTTTATTTTTTCTTATTGGATATATGAGCAGGTCATCTGAAAGCATCAGATGATGCAACCACATAATGCATGCCTTCCTGAAGTATTGGTGTTACACAAATGGTTCTAATTTCAGGAGCAGAGGTGACATGTAGGAGGAAGGAGAGTAAGAGTTCTCTACATTGCTGGGAGAGAGATAGCAGGAGGGAAGCCAAGGGGGCAGGCAGAAAGGGGCCTCAGCCACCTACTCTGCCATGCATTCTCTACCTGTCATGCTATTCAAGTGTTCGGCTCCCTGCTAGGGTCCAGTGCTCCTTATAACTGACTTGGTCTGGGGTAGCTCAGAATATTGACATGGTTCACACCTGTATGTAAACTCAGAAGCAGTGATGGAGATTCCTGGTCCTGACCAGAACAACCAGGAAAATATTTTTTAATATTTTAAAAATTATTTTTGGGGCTGGAGCGATAGCACAGCGGGTAGGGCGTTTGCCTTTCACGCAGCCAACATGGCCAACACAGGTTCGATTCCCAGCATCCCATATGGTACCCCAAGCACCTCCAGGAGCAATTCCTGACTGCATGAGCCAGGAGTAACCCCTGGGCATCGCCTAGTGTGACCCAAAAAGCAAAAAAAAATATTTTTGTATTCATTTTTAATTTAATTTTTATAAAGACATTCACAGGAATTTATTACATTTAATACTCCAACATCAATTCCACTATCATTAGACCGTCTCACCACCATATTTTGAATGTTTCTATCCTGACCCAAACCCTTTCCAAAGCAGGACCTAAATAATTCATTTTTTATTGTTTGTTATGAGTAATCCACTAAAAATGGGCCAAAAATTTCCTCGGAGAAAGTGTGTGAAATTGTGCCATTAAGTCCTTGTATAAGACATTACTACATTTTGTTCAAGGTTGAGACTTGAGTGCTTATATATGTACCTTTTCTTACTCCACGAGAAAGGTTACCGTCTACTTTGCACCCCATCCAATGTGGTGAGCTATTCTTGTACATCAGTGCCGTAGACTATGAGGTGTTGCAAGGCCACTTATTTGGCCTGTATAACTGTATACACCTTGTATGTCTGTGTGTTTCCCATCAGCATAATCAGGAAGATCATTATTTCACTAATTATCATCCTTCCTCATGTGTAACTTAGATCACTGCCTTGTTTACCAAAATTAATCACCATTGCTACACTAACATTAGGTCTTAGTTTAGAGAATTTCCAAAATTTTATTATCTATCTAGAAGTTCTTTTAATATTTAGGATTGGGTGGTTGTTGATTGATCTGTTTTAAGTAGAGAAATTTGAGATGAACCTGAATGGACTGAGAGATGTAAGTGACGGAAATTCTGAAGAACGCCAAAGACATGCTGGTGATGTTAATGACAGATGGGTTTGGAGGACGCAGAGCAGAGACCATGGAGGGACTGAAGGAGAGACGGAGGGAGAGAGGCAGAGTCACACTGAGGGATTAGCTGATTACAGGTGAGGGGTGAGAGTGAGACAGATGGGGTGATCTCAGCTGTGTGTCAATAGGTAACACATGAAGAGAGATAGCGTGTGAGTTAGAACTGGGACTGTGAAACACCAGGGAATTAGTAGATCTAGAATGTTCTGGGGAGCCATAGGAATGGAGGAAAGTAAGGTGAGAAATTGTGGCTCATGGGAATCCTGCTACTATGTTCACTGTTCACTATGGAAATGATTCTCTATTACATTGTGAGCTACTCATTCACATCAAATAATGGATATTTTAGCTTAATCCCTACTACTATTTTATGTTTAATGTTGGTCTTTTTTAGGTCAGGTAAGTTAATTAATGAATGTATGCACTTTAATGGTAACGCTTCCCTTCCCTGAATGCACACATGTTCACACACAGACATGTAGGAATTGAGATGCTGCTATTCCCAGCAGGTATCTGGGGTCCGTGAGCACCACAGTAGGAAGCTGAGATGCTCCATAAACATTGGTGAGGGCAATTCCTGTTCCCTACTCAGGAGAGAGTCCAGGTCCTGCTCCCCGGGAAGTCGGGGGACCCTTTTCTGATGTGAAGCCTCAGGCCCAGGACTGAGGAGGGAGCTGAGGAGCCCCAGGGGCCCCTTATCAAGGATAAACTGTGTTCATCTGAGATGACTCTTACCCATAGCCAGTTGTTGTGACCTAAATGGGCTTGATACTCTTCCTCAGGTCACTCTGAGAGAAACTGCTACCTGTGCAATGCTTGTCTCTCGGAGTTGCTTGTGTGAAGATTAGGTTATCAATGGGAAAAGTCACGAGCATTAAATATTGATGACTGGGCCTACACTCTAAGGGAATGTCTCTCTGAAACCTGATGATACACGGGATGCTGTTGCCATGCATGTTCCATGACTGGGTATCACCCACCTGGCCCATCTGTGGAATGGACGACCATGGGCTCATCGTCTGTTGTGAAGAGGACTCTAGCCATAAAAGTGACCTCGTTTGTGATTTATGACAGAAAATATGGCAGAAGAAAGGAGGCTGCAGCAAAACACTATGGTGGATATAGTGATGAAGTGATGAAGAGAAGGAGGTGGATGAAGATGAGCCGATGCTCTGACCATCATAAACCTCATTTTTCAGCATGAAGAATAAGTGCTCTCAGCAACCTGAGGACGTCATGTCTTAATCCATCTGTAGTCCTGAGGATTCCAGGAGACTGACTTTTGGGTCATTGGAGGGATAAACTTCTATGTACTCGTGATGCAGAGAGAACCTGTCCTGTAAAACAAAAACAAAGGAATAAAAATTAGTTATTAGCAGGCTTGTTTCTCTTGTGATTCCTAAGGTACCGGCTTTCTTTGATATAGTTCTGTGAAGTAAATGTGCCGTATCAAATTCGAAGACAACAGTGGAAAACGCAGAATCAGAATGCTAGAAACGTTCCCTGGATAGACCTTAGATGAGAGGCAGAAAATCAGACAGCCATCAGCTCCTGCTCTTCTGAGACATTTCCTCTAGGTAGGGTCCATAGCGCCACCTGCTGGCCAGGGTCTCCTGCAGTCCACACTCTCCCAGCTGGGAGGTTTTTGTCTGGGCTCATCCTGACTTCCCCTCACTGTGTCTCTCGCACAGTAATACATGGCTGTGTCTTCGGGGGTCACTGAGCTCATCTTCAGGGAGAACTGGTTCTTGGAGGTGTCAGCCGTGATGGAGATGCGCCCCTGGAACGCTGGGTTGTAGCTGGTACTACCTGACCAGTACCCCATCCATTCCAACCCTTTCCCAGGGCGCTGGCGGATCCAATACCAATAGTAACTGCTGGTGACAGAGGTCCCAGAGACAGAGCAGGTGAGGGAGAGGGTCTGGGATGGCTTCACCAGGCCTGGGCCCGACTCCAGCAGGGTCAGAGCAGACACAGCGCCTGGAGACAAGGTGAATCAGTCACTGTCAGTCCCTGCAGTTACTCCCTCCCCTAGACCCTGCCACATCTGGGACACTCACCCAGGGGGCCTGTCACCAGACAGAGGAGAAGTCCCCACAGAAGTATCTTCTTCTCGACCACAGCTCTGTCTTCCCCAGAGACTCAGCCCTGAGTGAGGAGACAGCTGTGAGCTCCACAGCCCAGAGAGCATTTGACCCCAGAGTCTGAGAAGGACTTGCATGAGGTGACCAAGTCTATCATAAGGGGAAACTTTCTTACCTTGGGTCTCCTTTTCCCATTGGGGCGCTTAACTCACACACTGTCTGGTGGATTGAGCACTTGCCAATGAAGCATTGAAACAGGTCATAGGAGGCTCCTCACTTATTTTAATAATCTGTCTCAGCAAGTTAAAATGATCACAATTATTTCAATTTCAAGTTGCTAATGAAAATAGTTTGCATTGTTTATGGTTCAAAAACTTTTTAATATAACTACCGTATAAAATGCTTATAATCATAATCATACTTAAATTTGTTTCATATCTGTGTCTCTAAAAATAATGCCCAAATGAAAATCATCCTTCTCAGTACTTATTTCTTTCCATAAAAAATTATGACATAGTTATATTTTATAACTCTTTACAAAGTACATTTTCATTTCATTTCATTTCATCATCCTGTTAATTGTCGATTGCCTCGAGCAGGCCCCAGTAACGTCTCTTTCATCCTAGCCCTGAGATTATATTCACGGCTCTTTAGGAGAATGAGACCCATCATTGTTACTGGTATTTGGCATATTTGGTAGGCCACGGGGAGTTTGCCAGACTCTGCCCTGTGGGCAGGCTACATTCGATAGCCTGCAAGTTTGTCCAAAGTAGGAATGAGATAATAAGATGTCGCGCGGCCGCAGATGCGGCCGCGCGGTTCCGGGATCTGGATTTTATAGTCTCTGAGTCTTGGCCGCTGATGGGATTACACGGCGCCAGGGGACCAGGTGGTGGGTGTGACCCCCGCCTACTGGAATTTGGAGGATCTGGGTGGAAGATGCTCGACTCCAATTCGAGTAGGCGTGGAGGTCTCGGCCCCGGAACCCGCATGGCTGTGTCCCTCTGCCAGTACCTTCATGGGTGCGGAGAGTGGTCTCAGCATGGTGGTGGCTGGTCCTGGAGGTCTTCGGCTGCCGTAGCCCTGGTCGGGGCGGGGAGGAAAGCTCAACCCGCTCCCCTTCAAGGGACTCCGGGAAGGAACACCCAGGCGCGGGGGCAGAGACTGCACTGCTCTCGTCCGGGATCTGGATTTTATAGTCTCTGAGTCTTGGCCGCTGATGGGATTACACGGCGCCAGGGGGCCAGGTGGTGGGTGTGACCCCCGCCTACTGGAATTTGGAGGATCTGGGTGGAAGATGCTCGACTCCAATTCGAGTAGGCGTGGAGGTCTCGGCCCCGGAACCCGCGTGGCTGTGTCCCTCTGCCAGTACCTTCATGGGTGCGGAGAGTTGCCACAAAGTACATAGTTAATAGAAAATTTATTTTTTGTTTTATTTTTGCTTTTTGTTTTGTGTCACACTCAGTGATGCTTGGTGGTAACTCATAGCTTTGCACTCAAGGATTACTCCTGGCAATGGCTGTTTCATTTCGGGCAGCCCAGGGGGTTCGGGTGAGGCCTGTCCTACACCAACCAAGCCAGCCCCAGTAGCCAAAAACCTCCAGAACTCAACTGCTGCCCTGCTCACAGCCACTCTCTACACACTTGGACAGACCTCAGGAGTGAGTCTATTCTTGGACATCACACACTTTGCAGCACAATGTACCAAGAGTAGCACACCACATTTGATGGGGTATAAGTAGAAGGCAACCATCTCAGTGGGAAATATATTTATACAGATGTATATATAATCATACAAGGCTTAATCTTTAACAACTTGTTACTAACCTATTATAGTAGGGTTTAATGACTGGGTGAAATACAACAATCTTCACACACTTTCTTCTAAAAAATCTTTTCTTTCATTTTTAGTGGACTATTCATAACAAGCAATACAAAATAAATTATTTTGCTTTTGCTTTCAGGGTAGGGTTTGGGATTTGACATGGAAAATATGGTAGTGGGAAGGTGAAATCGTGGTGGAATTGGTGTTTGAATATTGAATGCAATCAAATATTGTGAACAACTTTATAAAAATAAAATTAAATTAAGAAAACAGAATTACTCCTGGTAGTGGTCAGGGGAACCATATGGGACGTTGAGGATGACCCTTGTTGGTGAAGGCAAGAAAAGCACCCTACGAATTGTATTATCACTCTGGCTCTCTGATTTTTGAATTTTGGAGTTGGGGTCTACTGTGCATTATCTTGGGGTAGAAATTTATTTTAGATTATATTTAAATGATCATGATCACGACCATTCTGTTGTTCGTCGATTGCCTCGAGCAGGCCCCAGTAACGTTTCCTTCATCCTAGCCCTGAGATTTTTTAAAAAGTGCCATATACAAGGCTCCTTCAGGGTTAGGAGAATGAGACCCAACGTTGTTACGGTATTTAGCATAGCAGGTACACCATGGGGAGTTTGCCAGACTCTGCCATGTGGGCAGGTTACATTCGGTAGCCTGCCAGTTTGTCCAAAGTAGAAATGAGATAATATGATGTCGCACAGCCGCAAATGCAGCCGCGTGCTTCTGGGAGCTGGGTTTTATAGTCTCTGGGTCTTGGCCATGGATGGGATTACACGGCGCCAGGGGGGCAGTTGGTGGGTGTGACCCCTGTCTACTGGAATATGGAGGGTCTGGGTGGAGGATGCTCAGCCCCGATCAGAGCAGGCTTGGAGATCTCAGCCCCGGGACCCGCATGCCTATATCCCTCTGCCAGAACCTTCATGTATGTGGAGAGTGGTCTCAGCATGGTGGTGGCTGGTTCTGGAGGTCTTTGGCTGCCGGAGCCCTGGTCGGGGCGGGGGAGGGAAACCAACCCGCTCCCCTCCAAGAGGCCCTGGCGAGGAGAGCCAGGCACGGGGGCAGGAGACTCTGCGCTGTTCTCTTCCGGGAGCTGGGTTTTATAGTCTCTGGTCTTGGCCATTGATGGGATTTAAACAGTTCCATATGTTTCTTTTAAATTTTTCATGGAATCTGTACTTTTTCTAACTTTCAAAAATTTATCCACAACTGCCCTGTCTCAGTGTTTCCACTGAAGTCACTTTGCTTCTATCCGTATCTGCGCATCTTTCATCTCTATCAGAGCTTGGGTGTCCCTGCTCAGGGGTCCTGCTGTTCCCACCCTTATCACACTCCACCAGAGCCATGGTCGGTTCTTTTACTCCATCAGGTGCCTCTGCCATCTAACATTAAATGACACTGAAGTAGAACAGGTGTCCCGGGAGGAGTGGAATTTTGGAGATGACAGACCCTTTCCAAAAATCCCATTGTCACTGAAGACCCGGCACGAGCTCAGTCTGAAATGACCTGTTCATACTCGATCACTGATGGAAACGCTGTCCTCTCTGTCTGTCTGGTTGTCTGTCTGTCTCCTTTCTTACTTTAAACACTGTGATTTAGAAAGTTCTTCACAATACAGTTGTTTCAGGTATTCAACATGCCAACACCTGTCCCACCACCACTACGCTCTTCCCTCCACCAACGTTCCAGTCGCCCGCCCCCAAGCTGGATCCCTGAGCAGGCAATAATTAATTGACTTTACACTGTTTGACTTTATCTCTGTGCACTACTAGGCTTGCCCTCCCCCCAACCACAAAAAAGCAAACAGAAAATGCGACCTGAGTATTCTCACTCATTCCTGAAACATCAACTCGTGGGCCTCTTTCCCGGGTCTGGGGCTGTGGAAAAGGGTTAATTCAGTCTCCCCCATACATTTTTCTGCAAGACCACTCCCGTGAAGGGGGCTTTGGAGAAGTTCCAAATAAGGTTTCCTGGACTTGCTTGTTTTCCCACTGAACATTCCTGGGGCTAGATTGCCTTAGGCCACGTGCAGGGAAGGGACTGGGAATAGGGGGAAAGCTCAGTTTCAACAACCACTGCTGTTAAGGTTTCTGTGTTCAGGAGACTGATGTTCCCTTTAGCCCAGCCAGCGGTGGCCCAGGGGGGCTGCATGGGTTCCAGCCCCAGAACTGCTTTTCACTTAGTTTTTGTAAGATGTGCCAGGAGCCTCTGTGTGTGGAGTCCTTTCCCGTGTCCTCAGCCCTGCAGTCCAGCCAGCTTGGGGCCAGAGCCTGTGGATAAGACCGTCGTGGTAGCTGAGACCCTGGTAGATGATGGTTGGGTGTGTGGGGCTTCCGAGGGCAGGGGGAAGGGCTGGGCTGCAGACAGTGAATGCTTTTTAAAATGAGAGCAAATGCTGGCTCAGAATGGAGAGGGAAAGAAGCAACTTCCTGTTTCTGGGGCTGACTATTTGAGAGGAGGAGCTTCTCCAGCCCCTGGGCTGGTGTGGCCAGCGGGCCACCTGAGGCCTAATGGAGCTGTGGCTGCACCCTACCTATGAGGTCTCCCTAGCAGAGTTCCAGCCACCCCTCTTTTCTTTCCCCGGGTAATCCATCAACAGACAGGTGGTTTCCAAAATGAATGTCTGGACTCGAAGATCTTCTGAAACGCCAAGCATGCTAGCATGCCAGGGGGGCTGACATTTACTTGACTTGTCAGCTTCTCCATGACGGACCCTCCTGGTTAGGAGTTTGTATGACATCCACACCTCACAACAATGGTGAACAAGGCCCTTTACATTTTTTGGGGGGGGGGGATTGGGTCCACCGGTTGGATGTTCGAGGTCCCAGGGTTGTGTGGTGCTAGAACTGGGGATATGCAACCAGGGGTAGAACTCAGGGCCTTGGACATGCTAAACTTGTGCTCTGCCATTTGTGCTACCTCCTCAGCCTGGAAGGTTCTCTTTTCATCCCCATTTTATTTTTACTCATTTATTTACTTGGGCTGGAGTGATAGCACAGCTGGTAGTGGGTTTCCCTTGCACGAGGCAGACCCGGGTTCGATTCCTTCACCCCTCTCAGAGAACCCGGCAAGCTGAGAGTATCTCACCCACATGGAAAAACATGACAAGCTCCCCATGGCGTATTATATATGCCAAAAATAGTAACAACAAATCTCACAATTTGTTGTGAAACATTGCTGGTACCTGCTCAAGCAAATCGATGAACAACAGGAGGACAGTACTACAGTGCTACACTGTTTGCTACAGCATCTTTCTCCTAATGGTGTTGCTACAATCCTAGCCTGCGGATTTCCTGAACTGTTAGGTGCGCTTGTGCCATCTGTGGTAGTGTTTCACTCATGAACGCAATGG